AGAGAGAGAGAGAGAGAGAGAGAGAGAGAGAGAGAGAGAGAGAGAGAGAGAGAGAGAGAGAGAGAGAGAGAGCAAAGGATCCCCGTCACACATATCAGATGGAACCTGCAGGTAATCTGAAGGGTCCTCACACGCAGCAATTTAGCATAGACCCTTCACCAAAATCGAGGCAGGCAATGAGTATTCCTGTGTGTTTCAGCAGTTATGGGTTGCTCACTTAGCTACGCCCTGTTGGTCTCTGAAGGTGATTCTCAGGGATTGGCTGCACCACTCACCAAATGTGCAAAACTACAATCAATCTTCTGCTAGAACGTGGAATAATACGCTGCCATATGTTTTGTCTTTTGTGCATCTGGTGAGTAGAGGCCCTTAGAGCCACTGCACGTATTCCTAAGAAAAGAAAAACAAAGAAACAGAGAATTAATAACCCATAACCGCTGATACACAGACTTGAATTTGAATCCAGACTTATACATTCTCGGCCCACGCATACAAACTTGAAATTTAATGTCTTCTTCTGTTTCACGAGGTATCCTTGCTAATTTGCTGTAGGGCCCCTTCGGAAAAGGGACTGGACACAATGAGGACATGCACACCCCAACACACACGCATGTGCTCACAGTTTTTGTGGTATGACGTAGCCCCAACTTTTTTCCCTCTTGCAGTTTTGATTTTTAGAAGCGAGGGGCATGTTCGGCCACCCCACCCTGTCCTTTCTTTTTTTTTTTTCTTTTTTTTTTTGTGATGTGCCGCATCACGTGTGCGCGCGTGCATGCGTGTGCGCTCTGTGTCGCACGTGGTGCGACCCCGCGCAAGGAATGCACCTATCCAGAGGGGTGGTTAACGGAGGCCTCAATTTTCAGACAACTTCTCATCCCATTTATAACAAAACCCAAGGGTCATTTTAACCAACCCGTTACTCAGGAGCTGAAAGTGGGGGTCCCCATTAATCACTTGTGACTATACATCACCAAATAGAACTGCCCGTAAACCATAGGCAGAGAGGGAGAAGAAGACATCAAGCGAGGGGCTGTGACAGATTGTTTCGTTGGAGTTTCACAGATTCATCAGGGGGGAGTCTGAACCCTTCTCTGCTCTAACCGCATGCCCGCTAGCCTTACACCACCAACATTCCGCCGGTTGTATGGACCAGACATCTGGATTTCACCGCTGGGAAGCCCAGGGGCTGCTGGATGCCTGACCAGACTACCATAGATTTTATTTTATATTTTTGTGAAATTCCTGCATGTTTGCCGAAGAAGAAATCGGGAAAAAAAGAGAGCAAGAGATCACAGACTGCTACAAACAACTTTGGGCTGAGGGTCATTTCAAATGT